GACCTGCCTGTAATTCTAGGGCTTCTAAGGCAGAGATGGGAAACACCTGGAACAAGCTAGCTATCCAGACTGGCCATATCAGCAAGTTCTAAGAGACTATGAACCTGCCTGTATTTCTAGGGCTTCTAAGGCAGAGATGGGAAACGCCTGGTACAAGCTAGCTATCCAGACTGGCCATATCAGCAAGTTCTAAGAGACTATGGCTGGGGGGATGAGGGCGGGGAGCAGAGAGCAATGTCAACTTTAGGCCTCCATGTACACACATACATGCAGATATACCTGCATAAATGTGTGCCCACATACGAGAACACCCATACACACATACGCTCCATGTACACAAATACATGAGAAAAATTTTAAAATAATACAATGAAGAAAATACTAAAAGAAAATGAAAAAGACATTCAGGTGGCTCGCTGATATAATCCTAACCCTAAAGAGACTGAGGCAGAAGGATTGCTTCGAGTTTGAGAACAGCCTGGGCTTTAGAGTTTAAAATTAAACCCTGTCTCAGCAGAGTAAAAAAGAGGTGGGGGGGAGGTTTAGTTAAACTCTGCCACATTGCTGGGCGTGCCCATTTCCTAGGGTCTCTGCTTTCTGTTTTTGAAGTTTTTATTATTTTTTTTTAGTGTGTGTGTGTATGTGAAGGTAGAAGACAACTTGTGGGAGTCAGCACTCTCCTACTCTGAGTATTCCAAGGATCAAACTCCTGTCAGCAGCCTTGGCAATAGGTGCCTTTACTCACTGAGCCATCCTTCCAGACCCCAAGAGCCTAGGTTTCAAATCTAATAAGACTTATGTGGGTGCTTTACACATGTTAGCTAGTTACTACTCCCATACACAGGCTAGTGAGCAGGCATCATTATTATTTCTTTGTTTAGAAGGAGATTAAGTAAGATATTCAAGATCACACTATACAAGCCAAGATTCCACGTTGGGTGACTTGCCCCAACACTAAATTCTCTTTGAGGTCCTTACTCAGGCTGTGGTCGTTGGCTCTGTGACATGGGCATGCAGAGCCCCAGGCCCAAACCAGAGACACTGAGGTCAGCTGCAGCTCCCAGGATCCCAGCATGGATGGTTCCTGGTACTCTCAAATCTGAGCTGCCCTGCTTTGTTTATATCCCTCAAGCCTGAGCATCCCTGTGTTTCATTTGTTCCTTTTTTTTTGGTAGGTTTGGACCCAGGGCCTTGGTGTGTGCTGTATCCCCTGCCTCAAGCCTGAGCATCCCTGTGTTTCATTTGTTCCTTTTTTTTTTTGGTAGGTTTGGACCCAGGGCCTTGGTGTGTGCTGTATCCCCAGTCTCATTTTAACTTTTAAAATATGTGAGATATCTCGCTAAGTTGTCCAGCTGGCCTTGAGTCACCCTGTAAGCCCACAAGGTCTTCCTTTAACTTTTTGACCCTTCTACCTTGGTCTCTTGACTAGTTAGGTTTATGGGCCTGCACCAGCAGGCCTGTGTCAATAGGTGTGCTTTGTAAACTATAAAGCGCATCACATCCCAAGGATTGTGAGGAAGCTCAGAAGAGCTGCAGAGGCAGGGCTGGGGCAGGAGGGTGGGGGGAGGGCAGTGGGGAGAAGGTGGTTATTCCAGTGTCTGTGGAAGCTGTTTCTGGTCCCAACTCTGCCCACTCTGAAGCTGGTCAACTGTATGCTTCATGCTGGCTCCAAGATCTGAGTGGGTTGGGGAGAGCTGTCAAACTGACAGGTGCAAGGGGCCTGAGCCATTGCTGCTCTGTGTGACACAGGCAGGCCCCGGCCCTGCCAGGATTGGTGTCCCTGAATAAGCAAGGTGGCAATGTCCTCTGAAATCGGAAGTGCTGACTGGAGGCCGCTTCCTCTACGCTTCTCTTCTATAGCCCATCTCCTATCTTTCCTCATAGCTCCCGGGGGTGGGGGCTGGTGGGGAGGGAATGCATGAGTCAGAATACAGGCACATAATTGTGGTGCCCCAGATCCACCTCCTGTCCACCGGCCCTCCCTGTCTTCTCCTGGCGGCCTCCTTGGAAGAGCAGCTGCTCTCACAGCTCCTGGAGGAAGCAGGGTCCCTGGCAGCAGGAAGGTCTCTGCTCCGAGATGACTGGACCTGGGACTGTTCTCATGGGCCCTGGCCAGGGGCATAGGTGTTCAAGGAGCAGGTTATCTGGGTTTGTCCTGCAGAAATGGAAGTGGGACCATGTGTCCTTGCATCAGCCACCTGCTTCATGGGGACTGGGGGCTACCCATCAGTGGGTCCACCCCAAGTGCATGGTGGGTAGCATCAGGATGGGAAGTACCAGGATGAAGCTCATTAAGGCCAGGTGTGGAGGGAAGATGATGGATGGGGAGGTGAAGGCTCTCGGTGAGTGAGTTTGTCATCCTGTCTCCTCAGCTGTTTGACTGAAGTGACATCACCATCTCTGTGGACAGGACACTCCTGGAGCACAGCCCACAGCCACTGGACTTTCTTCCAGGTAAAGAAAGAGGAAGGGAAGAAAGTGGGAGGAGGGGAGGAAGTAGAAGCAGGCTGCAGAGCACAGCCCCCTGGCCTTGGAGAAGAACCCTACAGTGTATGAAGAAAGCCAGGGGGGACAGTTGTCCCATTTATGGATAAGGAAAGTGCAGTGCTGAGAAGAGGAGTCTCCTGCTCAGCACAGTGTCTGTGTTCCAGGTCTCATCTGATGTGGTAGCTTGCCTAATCCTTGAAACAGCCCATGAGGTCAATGCCATTATCCCATGTTATATATAAATCAGGAAGCTGAAGCATTAGGTCCCTTGCCCAAGTAAGTAAATAGGAAATCTGGGTTTTGAAACCAAGGGATATAGGTTTGTCTCCAGCCCCTGTGCATGGCCTCGCTACAGCTCATAGTAGTTATTTCTTTGAACTCCACTTTGGGGCTTTTAATGGGTTCACAGCTTCAGGGAGGATTCATCTGAACAGAGACCTAGAGAAAGCCATGCTTTTGGCCAAAGGAATGAATGGCAAATGGTGGGACTGGAGACCTGTGCCATGGAACTGCCCTGAGCCCTGAGGTGGCTCCCAACTCCTAGGACTTTCTTCCTCCACAGTCTATCAAGGCTCTAATCACCAGAAAGAACACTGGACCTTTGAACAAGGTGAAGACAGGTTTAGGCCTCATGTTCTGAGACATGCCTAGACAGAGAGACTGCTTCTCTTTGCAGAATGCTGTGGGGAAGAGAGAGACAGTAATGAGAGGGGAGATGATGGGGGTGAGGTGGGGGTGGGGGTGTGGTCCTGCCCCCAGCCTTAGGTCACCTTCATCAGACCTGGGACAGAAGCATGCAAAAGTGTATCAGAGGCTTAAGAAAAAAAAAATGTAGGCTTTTTTTAAAAAGCAACTTAATTTTTTTCCTATAAATTGTGAAACAATTAATTATTATTCAAAGGCAAGGTTCAGCCTAGACTCTGTAGTTGTGTGGCTTATTTATTTAGAGACAGGATCTTGTTGTATAGCCCTGGCTGGCCTTAAACTCTATTCTCCTGCCTCAGCATCTGAGTGCTGAGATTATGGATGTGTGCTATCACAACTGCTAGCTGTGTGGCTTTAAAAACGCTGATTGGTTCTTTCTCTCCTCACTTTGCACATTTAACCAGTTTTTTTTTTCCACTGGCAAATACATGGGCATCCCCTCGGTGCCTAACCCAGTGAGTGATACCCAGGTCCCCTGATACAGTGACTCCTTGGCAGGGAGGGGCCTGTGGTGTCTTGTGTCCCTATCATTGGGTACAAGGTGGCAGATACTTGGAGCTTCAGACAAGGCTGGCCACATGGGGCAGGAGGCTGGATAGAAGTAGCTAATAACCAAGTACTGAGGTCAGTGATGGCTCTCAAGGGCTCAGCTAGTCCATGTGAGCCTACAGTACTCAGGCAGTATGGGGGTAGCTCACCCAGGGCTTTCACAGGTCCATGTGTTAATGTGGAGTTGAGGGGAGGGGCAGGGCACGGGTATTGAAGCTGTCAGCATGACTTGTCTTTGGAGCCTGGCACAGGAGGAGGGGAGGCTGGAGAGGCAGACTTGAAGGAAACAGGAGAGGTGTCCTTAGATGGGAGGGCTTGCTTCTCTCTCCATCTTGGGTCTGATTAGAGAAGCTATTTAGATAATAACTCTGCTGGTTTACATAAGTAAATAAATCATTGCTCCCCATGCCTTTAAGGGACAAAAACTGGGCAGAGAGAGTTTGCAAGGTGTCCAGTCTCTGCCAGTCTCTGCCAGACCCAGTTTCCTTCTTTCCCATCTGACCTCATGCCAGTGGTCCCCTTTCTCAGGGTCCCAGAAGGCATAAGAGAAAGCCTGTTGAGCTCTGAATCGCTGGACTGTTAGGCAAAGCCCTGGACATCCACCTGAAAGTAGATGAGAAGGTAGTGAGTCAGCCCCTATGCTAGCCCCCCTCCCACCATCCATCCTCCCCCCTCTAGACTCAGCCAGAGGTCTTTAGGTTGCCTAGAGGTTCTGATTGTTCCAGGGAGAGCCTGGTAGTGCTTGTGTGTGAGAGGAGCCATGACAAGGGGAGGAACCCCTCCCAGGACAACCTTCCTGCAGTCTTGATGGCTTGGGGGGCTACCCAAGCTTCCAGAGAGGCAGGCATGCCTTAGGAGCCTGTCTAAGGAACCAGTCATAGCAACTAGTTGCTGCACAGGGCCATCTGCATGGAGGAGAGGCCAGAGAGAGTCCTTAGGACTTACTTGGAACTGATATTTTGTGACTTCCTAATCCTGAAATCCTAGTCACCTTGCTCTAGAATTTTTGTAGTTGTGGGCATCTTGAGGGAAGTGATTTTTTTAAAACATCTATTTTTTCACTCGTTTATTTTAAGACAGTAATCTGTAGTAAAGGCTGACCTTAAACTCCTGTTCTAGCCTACTGAGTGCCAGGGATATGCTCAAGCTGGGTGAGCAGATGTTGAAGTTGGTTTGGGGCATGTGGGGCCTAAAGTCTAAGGTTTTGTGAAGCAAAGCTCTGCTCTCTGGTAGGGCTAGCCATCCTTTTATTAAGGCAGGGTCTCACTTGGTGGCACTGGCTAGCTTGGGACTCGCTACGTAGACCAGGCTAGCTATGAACTTACAGAGATCTGTCTCAGTGTCTGCTTCCCAAGTGCTGGGATTAAAGGCATGTGCCACTTCGGGGCTGGCCATTTGAAGTGACTCTTCAGTCATGTGCTTGTAGCTTTGACTTAGGAGAGTGGTTCTGAACCTTCCTAATGCTATGGTCCTTTAGTATACAGTTCCTCATGTTGTAGTGGCCCCCAACCATAAACTTATTTTTGTTGCTACTTCATAACTGTGATTTTGCTACTGTTACGAATTGTAGTGTAAGTATTTTCAGACACAGAGGTTTGGCAAAAGGGTCGTGACCTACAGGTTGAGAACCACTGACTTGGAAGGCGAGGTTCCTACAGTCTTTGGGTCCCAAGAGAACTCAAGGCTTCTAGGCAGGTACTTGAACTTGTCAAAACCATGGCCTTGACTGTACCCCAAACATGCAAGTTTGTTGCCCAAGCCCCTGCCTGAGGAAGAAGTCTCAGCAGACACATGGTCCTCAGCCCACTGCCAAGGCAAGGCTCAAAATCTGTCATTCCCAGCATCTGAGGCCCTGGGCAGCTTCCTGTTCCTCTCATTATGATGTCTGTGGAATGAAGATTTTGGTAATTACCTGGGAAGTTGGCGTGACACCTCACTGGGGTGACGTGTGTGGAAGCTCTTTGTAAACTGTAAAGGACCATGCCTGCATTTCTGATAGAGGCTGCTTTTGCTGCATTGAGGTCATCTCCTTGAGGGAAGGAAGGGCTGTACTGATTCCAGATAAATCTCCCATTAAGTCACACCTGACTCTAAAGTGGTGGAAGCCTCTAAAATACCAGTGACAGAGCTCAGAACCTGAGGGTGGGACAGGCAAAGGCCTCAGGAGAAAGCTGACCTTATCAACAACAGGGGCAGGAGAGAATGCCTTGAGAGCTGGGAAAACTGGATTGCCTGGGGGCACACACATATAAGAAAACCTGGCCTTGTGGGGCGTTGGAGGCGCTTGCCTTTAATCCCAGCACTCTGGAGGCAGAAGCAGGCGGATCTCTGTGAATTTGAGCCCAGCCTAGCCTGGTCTACAAGAGCTAGTTCCAGGACAGCCTCCAAAGCCACAGAGGAACCCTGTCTCGGAAAAAAAAAAAAAAAAAAAAAAAAAAAAAAAAAAAAAAAAAAAAAAAAAAAAGAAAGAAAGAAAAAGAAAAAGAAAAAAAAGAAAACCTGGCCTTCCTTGGCCTCCAGTTCCAGAAGAGCCAGCAGTCTCCTGTGACAGAAAAGTTGGATAAACAAGATAGCCTGGCATTACCATGCAAAAGATTCATAATGACCCTAATTATGGCATGATTAATTCTTTGAGGGCTCTGGCTGGAAGCCCTAACCCACTGAGTTATTTTTCCCCCCAAACAGAGAGCAGGTGTGAGGGGGTGGGGCCAACCAGGGAGGCCTCCTTCGTGCTTCCTTCTGCCTGCCAGTCTCTTCTACCTCCACTGCCTAGGGACTTAGATTTCCTCCTTGCCCTAGGTCTAGCTACTTCACTACTGAGTCACCAGAACCTAAGGCTTTCTCTGAGACCCACAGAGATGAAGGATGGCATCCAAGATCATACAGTAAGATAGATGGTGACAGACTGCTGTTCTCCATTCAAGCCATCTGAAGAGGCCATGGCAACTGAGGGCCTCTGGGGTGGACTGGGCCAAGAGCAGAGCAGGTAGGGATTGGCTAGCCTCACATTTCTCTGGTTGGGCTTTTCACAAGCCTCCAGGAGTGAGAACTTCCTAGCCCAGGGAACAGAGGGCCTCTTCTGCCATCAGCAGGTGGGATTGTGGGATGTCCTGTCCTTCCTGAGCAATCACATCCCTGCTTTTTCCTGGGGATGAAGAAAGAGCTGGTAACTATAGGCATTAGGAGTTGAGTGTTGAAGAAGTCCCTGGAGAGCGTCTGAAAGAGGATAGAGATGTGGTCTCCCAGAAAATGGAGGTGACCTAGCTTAAACTCAGACCACCATTGCTGGACTTGGCTGGGGATGAGCCACAGTAGGTGCAGCCAAGGCCAAGGAGAAGATATTTCCCAGTGTATCCTTCCTTCCGTGGTGCCTGGCAGACCATGGAGAAGACTAGGCCCCACACCCAGCCCTGGCACCCTCAGGGGTTTCCTCTTCCAGTTCCTGGTCTGGGCGTCCCTGATGCCAACCAAAACACAGTGCTCTGCCTTGGGAGGCACAAGCTGCTGGCTCCTGTGGTGAAAGAGAGGACTAGAATGTAGACTGGCCCACCCTGGGGGCTACTGCAGAGGTAGCCTGAACATTATTTAGCACCTTGGTTTTAGACAGACTCCCCCAAGATTATCTGTGTGAGCTTTATGGAATCAGTGTGTGTGTGTGTGTGTGTGTGTGTGTGTGTGTGTGTGTGTGTTTAACAGACTTTTAAATATCCATT